GATACGCGCATCGCGGAAACGCCCCCTCCTCTACTCGGCACACGCTTCGAAGCCTCGATACGGAACGTCACATCACTAATTAACGGTGTATCTTTAAACCTGATGTCAAATCAAATGCCTAACATCTACCTACAGCTTGATTCTACACACATAAACACAGAAAACAAAATAACATTACCTAGTTAATTCACTGTTGGTGGTGGTTTAAGCCCTCACATGGGGGAGGCCAGGGCTGAGGCCTTCACAGTGTCATTTGATACAAGTTTGAAAACTTGAGTCCTAACCTGTATGAGATGATCCTGTTCAAGCTGTAAAAATTGAAATATGTTTGCTCTTTAAACTTCCCAGTAATTCATTTTTACATACAGTAAGATCTGCAGTTATTGTGCTTAGTATCAGCTCTTTCTTTACTATCCCCACAAACATATTGAAGGCCATTTTCAAATGACAGATTTGCAGTTTTAAGAGTAAAACATATATAGTATCTGTTTTACCACCGAGATGATCTTCCTGACTCAGTACAGGACATCAAACAATAGCATCACTGGCACCTTTTGGGGGTTAAATGTCACTCTGATGGGCATGTGGCCAATGTGGATTTCAGTCTTACTGCTGCTGAAAATAAATGCTAATGGTTCTGCTTTCAGTGATCATGCTGAAAACGGTAGCTTCTGATCTCAGACCTGATATTGCATATCATTTATTTATTTATTTATTTTTACTGAGTTCTGTGGACTTAAAAAAAAAACATCTGTCAGCGTACGTGTCAGCATCTGTGACTGTTCGGTAATTATTATTGTTATTATGGCATTATTTCTATCAAGCTAAATAGAAAACATTTTAAGGGAAACATTTTATGACAGGGAGATCAAGAGAAACAGGATGGCTAGCATTCTTTAAATGTGCCATTCCCTGACTATTTTTCTCTCTTTGCTCCCGTTGCGTACCTACATCAAAGGAAATGCTCCATTTTTCTTGGACTGAATTTGACTGTGCAACCAGCTTCCCTCTCATGTTGCAATCATGTCTTGTTTTTCAGAGAACAGTTGCAACATATAAAGGTACTTTTAAGAGCTATATAATGCTGCTTTTCTCCTGCTGCCCACCTTCTCTACTGTACCTTCCACTTATGTCTGTTTTTTTCCCCTCCATTCTCATATTTTGCTTTTTGTATCTGCAGAGGAAATAACTCAGATGGAAGAAGGGACCTGCCAGCTGCCTTGGTCATCATTCATCACAGTCTGTTTGTGGCCACTGTATGCAGTGAGTGAGTCAGCAGGCACCTGCTTATCAAGGGGACTGCGCCATAACTCTGAGGATAACTGAGGGGGCATTTGTGGTCTTCAGGAAAGTGGACATCTGTGCTGCTCTTGGCATGCTGTCAGACACCCTGCTTGCTTGCATGCCTGCCTGCCACCTCTGACCCAGCTTCGCTGTGGCTTGAATACTAATGTACATAAGCAGTATAAGAGCATTGTCATTGGAGTACGCTCAGAAATGTCATTAGCTACAAGGCCAACCCGTGCTTATCACTAACATCTAGAAAAGGCTGCTTCTGACACCGGTGCAGAGCCTGAATGAACTGTGATAGCTCATGATTGTTATCTGCTCATAGTAGAGGCACACTATCCCCATCACTGTGTCGCTGCACCTATGAATGTACCAGTGACAGAAAGCCCAATCTCACATCCTGCTACGAGACCTGATAATGCAGCCAAGGGTAAAAAACAGTGGTGGCAATTGGTATTTTCTTATTGAATGGTCACACAGAATCTCAGGCAAAGCCATTTATGTGATGATTTGGTGAACAAGTGATTTGTCATAGAAAATCCTACTGATCCAGGCTGGCTTATTCACTTAAAGCATTATTTAACTTATAGTAAAACCCTTCCTGTATCTTACATTGAATTATGTTTGCAAATGAGCATTACATATTTATGCGAAACCAGACACCTGTGCAAACCAAATAACTTCCTGATGTTATGTATGCTTTCTTCATTTCACTCTCACACAGTCATATACATAATGTATTGACTCAATGTTTACTATTTAACATTTCAAAACTGAGAATATATCAGATGCTTATGTGGTTTTTAGAATGGATTATCATTTGGCTTTTTCAGTCCATACACCCCAAGCACATAAATAGACGCACACAATTTGTTTTTATGTTTTGTCTTGACCAGGAAACTAAAAAATATTTTAATATCAAATTTTTCTGGTAACATAAAGGTTAAATAAAAAAATGTATAAAAACGCATTTTGACCTGGGTTAGTAAACTTACTACAAAGTTGGGGTTACAAGGCTTCAAGGGCAGTACAGCAAAATGTTTTGATCTCTGTCATTATGGTTAATATTTAATCCGAGGTAAAGCAAGAGCAACTTCAAAGAAACATGAAAATATAATTTTCTTCTCCTTGGAATGCCAATGCTAATCAACTGCACATCACTTCTACTGTTCAGTACTGGTGGAGGTACTCTACCTGAGTCTCAGTATAGCAAAACAAAACTTTTTCAGTACCTTAAGGTACTTTCTGACAGCGAACAGTTACTGCTGCATCTGCCACCTGGAGATGAAGGTCTTCTTTGTTTTGTCTTTTTGTTTTTTTATAACACTTTAAATAGGTGAATGCAAATATATGCAAAGCAGATTCATTTCTTACTTTGTCTTTATGTCCATATTGTCCTTGGATTTGTCCAGATTCAGATATGATGGCATCCTTGCTATTTGCAGTGAAGATTCTGCCATTTCTCTCCTTATTTTGTAGGCAACACATTAGTTTCTCCACCACAGTTTTTTTGCATTTTGAATGGGGAGCAGCAGGGTGTCGCTCCACTGCTGTGGCTGGGGGGTGGGTCTTGTCCAGCCTGTATCATACAACTTAGGTTGTTCTCACCAGTGGGTTGCAGCTTGAAATGGAGGAATGGTTTACAATTTGACATGATTAATATCTGGCACAGCAGCAGCCACTCTGTTTATTTTGAAGAATACAAACATGTTTTTCTAGAGGAACTCTTCTTTTCATTGAATGAAAAAAGCCACATATGTACAACCGTACCATATGTAGACTATTATCTATGTAGAATTCTGTTGCAATTTGGCAGGATTATGATTCATTAATAATTTAACTGTCAAAGAATATAACTCAGCGCTAACCTTTCATGCTTAACAGCTTTTCGGTGACTAGTTTCTGTACTACATCCATAATGGATTATTTTATGCTTCACAGTTTCATCCATCACCAGTGTTCAATGTCAGTAGAGGAAGTAGTGTGATGTTTATGTAGCAAGGTGAAGAGTAAGTGTCCGTGTACTGGTATGATGGAAACAATTATTGTCTGATTAATTGCAGGCCCTGTCTCAAACTGTTTGTGCCTCACCTGAGTCAAAAACCT